ATTTTATCTAAAATTTTCAAGTGGATTGAATTAAAATTATACTTGTGGGTATAGGTGTAGGTATCCTAGTAAGCTTATTAATATTTGTGTACTTCACCTGTAATAAAACAATACGGCTTTGAGGTAAAATTAAACATTATTTTTTTTGTTGAGTGGTTTTTAAATTGATTTTAGATAGTCATACAATAGGTACCTTCCTACATCTTGATTTTAATGATAATGATCTGTTAAATATTACTAACCAAAATTCAAAATAACTATACAAAACGTGATCATGACTTATTCTGTTAGTTAAAATTAAAGATAAGTTGAATAAAATCATATAAATATATTTGCGATGAGTGTATCATATTCGATGATTTATCAGCTACCATATTGTATGCACTACTTATTAATTATCTCATCAACCGCGTCAAGTGGCAACAATCATGATAGAAAAATAAGTTAATAGTATACTGTAATAATTATAATAAATAATAATAATAAAATATTTCACGATACAATCACAGATAAGTACCTAACTAATAAAAAAAAATAAAAACATATGCATATATTTTCAATAAATTAAATTAAATTGCAATGAACAGTTGTCATACAGTACTCAGTAGACATGTTAATGATTATTATTAAAGAAAAACCAAACAGACATTTAATATTTTTTATATTATATTATGATCAAAAAAAATTTTAAGCTGATCCAAAAGTTATAATAAGTTAAACCAAAATTGCGACAAATCGTGGAATTAATTTTGTTTTAATATAGCCACGAAACAAAATTTTATAGTTTTCCTAAATCACATAAATTATATAAACTGTAGTATTATATTATTATGCTGTCTTACATTTTGAAGGCCATTATAATAATGTGTAACTCCTGGTGTGAACTGTGAACATGATGACTGTCCAGTACCCAGTGACCAGTGTCCATATCCACAACAGCAGAAACGTGTACCTAACTACCTATAATTTTTATTGGTACCCCTAACCGTTATAACAAACCATTAATAAAACAATAATAAATGTATGAGTAACCACAGTTATAAATATTTCACACATGGGTAATTAATTACCTATAAAATATTTAGGTTGTATAATTGACAATATTGTATTACATGATACTTCAATAGTACAATATCTCTACAGGTGTAATAATAGCATGTACAATCAATAATATTACTACACTTCATATTGGTTTAATTAAATTAGAACTAGGTATTTTTATTTATCATAAAACTATTTAGTGTTAAATAAATTATACATAACACCAACAGCTCTAAAAGCGTAAACTTATCTCGAATGTGTAAGTTTGTAAAACTAGGTGTTGCATCATATGATATATAAGGTTGATGCCATCGTATTATCCTAATCAACCTAAGCTATATTATGGGTCCTAGATAAATGTACAATAAAAATTACTAACTACAACAGCAGCCATATAATATTATTATAGATTTATAACAAACATAACTAACGAGGTAGATAAAATATTATAATCTTACTAACCGGAAACTATTTTATATTATAATAATATAATCATAAATGTATTTATACCTAAATTAATGAAATTTTATTTAAGACGTGTGGCGTCCTAAAATTCGTTTATTTTACGTTCATAGGGACTATTTTTTAATTGGTGGGATCATCTAAGTGATTATTACACCATACTGCATTGATCATAATATTATTGGTGTTGTACCTACAAATTAATTTGTATGTTTCGACAAAATACAATTTTTTAGCCAAGTTACAATACTTACTATAGATATAAATATTTTAGTATTTTACATCAATACATATTCATAATAGTTTGAATAGTCTGTACCTAAATATTTCTTCCAATCCTATAATTAAATGATCCGCATTTCCAAAAATTGATTCATGCATTAGTTAAGTTCTATTATTTTTTAAATAATTCACATATCGATTCATACTTCTTAAAAATGTCTCTATATCCTTTCAATTTGTATGTTAATTAATAGGTAAATATTTATTGTTAATTTATATAAAATTTAATTAACATTTTTATAAAATCTGAGTAGAGTGAGTAAATAGGAGCTGTATAGATAACATTAGATTTGGTTAGGTATGTTGTATATATCTCAACCATTTTAGGGAAAATCAAGTTACACATCAAGTATTCATATACAAATTATATGTTTTATTATTATTTAGGTTATAACTAAAATGTAAGCAAAATAATGTAGGTAATAATAGGTACACATAATGAAAGACAAAGTACGAGACTAAAAACTTTTATCAATAACGAGGAAAAATATAATTTCTGTACGTTTTACTTGACTGTTTTTACCATATCCAAATCATACTTGATACTTCGACATTTGTATAAATTGTTAGTAATATATTTAATTTAATTTATGTTTCTAATGACAAATTTAATACCATTAACTAACCATCTGTCAAGACCCAAGACGAGTAGTATACATAAATAATAGCTGTGGGCCTGTGTGTGAACATACTACATGAACAATAACTTGACAAGTTACAAGTTGACTAGTGAATAGAACATTTTTTTTTTATAAACAATAAAACTACAAAGATATTATATCAACAGTAAATCCATATACATTATGCTTGGCATAAGTATTAATGTATATAGTGTAAATCTTATAGTCAGTATTATTTTTAATTAAGGAACAATTAATAACTAATTTCATATTTAAATTTATTCAGAAGCAATCAAATTATTTCAAACAATTTAATATGTTTATACTCAAAAGAAGATAAATTTATATATTTTCATATTATAACATAATATATAACATCGATATTAGCAATAGACTTCCTGTATTAAAACATAAAACTATAGTTCACTGTAGAACTGTACAACTAATGCGTTTGCTTGATTAAATTGATTGGAAAAAAAGCCTTGTTGCTCGATACAATATTTTTATATAGTTTATAGTATAGTATCATCTTACAATTTCTTAATTTATTCAACTGAAATCTAAATACAACAATATACTTGCTTGTGGAACGACTTTATGGGTTATTTATTTTATTATTGTTTGTTGAAACGTAAAAAAAAACCATATCTTAAATAATAAATATTATACAAAGTTATTATTTTTTTTATGATGGATTATTGTACCATATTATATAAGGATATAATATTATGTTTATTGTTTCGCTTTGTGATAACATTACTAATTTAAAAGTTCTAAGTTAACGTAGGTGAAAAAAACAAAAACAAAAAACAATTAAAACTACTATAGGTAGTGGGCGGTTAGGTGACTAAATAGCAGTAAATGCTTTCAACATTCAACATTTCGTTGACAATATTTCTGTAAACTTAACACGGGTGTTACGTGGGTCGACGATAAGTTTTAACGTGACGACGGAAAAGGAAAAAAGAAAAAGAAAAACGGAACATTAAAAGCCGTCGTCGCTGTAAGCGCGGTCGTTTTGTCACCTAACATTTTGTCGTCCGTGTAGTTAATACGTTATTACACGGAGGTGTGCGCATTGTGTGTAAGTATAAATTACAACAGCTTTGTATCAGAATCTTTATATATTGTATATAGGTACCTACATAGATACATGTATAATATTATATGGGTATTATAATATTATTCACAGTAGAGCGATATAATATATACCATTATACCTATATATTTGGAATTCCGGCCGGCCGACGACGAACGTTTTTCTTTCACTTCAGTCTATTATAATAGTATAACATAATATTACATTATTATCATAATTTCGTTTGTTTTGTGTCATATTTAATATTAATACCGATGTGGCGTGTACAAGCACCGCACGTCGCACTATATACACTCTGCGCGGCAGCCTTTGCCAAGTCGTCGGCGTTTATTCCTTCGGACGCACGTGCTCTTGGCGGAAGGGCAAGACGAATCGAAAAGGACCGTCGAAAGCCTATTATAGACGTACCTATATAATATTATTATACGCTTGTGGATCACAACGGCGAGCTCCACGTGACTTTATAACGTCTCGAGATGAGATCCGGTGCCCCCCTCCCCTGCACCACCGATGCCAGTCAGCCCCGCGAGAACTCTAAAAATAATGTAATTTAATTAATGCGATGTTTACGCAGTCGTAGTGTCCGGACTTGTTGAATGATCTATTCGGGTTTTAATGCACGGACGTGTATATAATGCATGTGTATAGTATACAACTCGTATAATAATAATAATAATCGTACTTGCTGTATAATAATAATATATATTGTATATATTATTATTATATATCTTTTGTCAGCTCATAATTCATTCTCTCCCGGTGGTGTTTTGACTGGGCCGTCACCGTCGTCGTCCGTCGTGTTCCGCGCAGACACATAATAATAATATACACGATGCGCACGCCATCCTTCACCCTGCCCCCCCTCCCATGCTGCCTGGACCCTGCTCGCCCTATCTCATTGCGTTTAACCAAATACACACGATAATATACACAAACACGCCGGAGAACCACACCATAACGGTGCTACTCGAGAGGGTGCTGTATAGGCTATACACGAGACCATCCGGAGTTGTACTATAAATATTTACCTTACGCGGCCGCCGCCGTTAAAGCGCTCGGAGACTTTCGTCATCGCCCACACACGTAGAGACGGTCCCTCGTGTAAACAGTTCGAAACCAATATAATAATAATAATAATAATATATATATGTAAATCGAAGCGGTCGGCGCAAAGCTTACACAATATACATTTATACATATATATATATAGGTACGTGCGCGGTCAGCTCCGACGGACGTGTAGGTATAATGTTATTATTTATCGCGTGGAGAGGCGTTTGCGAGTGGACAAACCGCGCGAAGTAGGTGTGTATATATAGTGACTATCCTGTATAGTATTGCTGCAACAGGTACAGTCGGGCAGGAGTCACGACTGGACTGTGAAAATCGTATTAATGTTGATATTATATGGTATACGCGGATCTGCAGGAGGGAAACAGACGCGACTGCACTGAAAAACATACACAATCGTAAACCGTCGCAGATTTGGGAGCGAAATGGATTTTCCGACCGACATGCATCGTCGTAATACAATACTACGGAGGCCACCGCCACCGCTGCACCAGACTCTTCCTGTTCGGACGGATCGTGCCGAAGTCGTTGCATTCTACCTAAATGACCCTATAGTGACTATTCTGTATAATATTGCTGCAGCATTTACCAGATATACAACCGGACAGGAGTCACGACTGGACTGTGAAAATCGTATTAATTTTGATATTATATGGTATACGCAATACGCGGATCTGCAGAAGGAAAACAGACGCGACTACACTGGAAAACGTACACTCGTAAACCGTCGCGGATTTGCGAGCGAAATGGATTTTCCGAACGACATGCATCGTCGTAATAGAATACCATACTGAGGTCACCGCTGAACCAGACCGTCCTGTTCAGATGGATCGTGTCGAAGTCATTACATTCTATACCTTAGAGTGTTCGGCCGCGAGTACAATATACGAATAAACGACAGAAAATCATATTACTCGGCGTGTATGAGATCTCTAATACCGCTCTGACGATGGTAATATAATAATATAATAGGTAGGTAATAAAATAACAACATAGGTATTAATTATTATGGGAAAAGAGAAAGAGTTTTAATTTTTCGGAATAATATCACTGGAGCCTGCACTGCGAGCAAGTTTTTTTCTGATTTAAGATTGTCTAATAACGCAGAAAACGATCCATATAGTATGTAGTGTATTATGTTTTGGAAACATATTCCATCGCTTATTATTTACACTTTTACATAGATACCTGGTTAGAGATCAGACAGGACCGGTGTAGTTAATTACAGCTGCAGTGTTTCGTCAATAAGAATATACAGTACGAATTAAATGTTATGTTCTTTTCAAGTAGGTAACTCGAATGTTGAACCTTTAATTTTTCAACAGATTTAACTCCGATATTATTATTCCATATTATGGATTATTCATTTTGTGAACAAAAAACCTGAAATCCTAACCTCTGAAATATGATATATGTAACTATATGAATATTTGAAAACTAGGTATAAATAAATGTACTGTATTCCACTGTATTCCACTTTGTTTAAATTATTTTATTATTGTTTATGTTAACGGGTGATCAATCTTATTATTTTTTTTTTTTTTTAACCACATGAATGAAATTACTTTATTTATCAGAACAGTAAAAACTAGTATTTCATGGGTTTCAGATAACATCATTTTTCCCCGTGGTTTTAATAAAGTATAAGTATATTGTAACTCGTTGAGTTATTACTTGATAATATTTATAAATATTTATAACTCTTAATTTATATTATAAAGTCTTAAAAAAAAAAACTAAAATACGATAACCTATTATTGCGTGCTGCGTTAGTTATGATCAGCGGTTTCATTAATTTTTAATTTTATTATTTGTAATTATTTTTTATACACTATTCGGTAAATTTATTACTCTGGGAATTGATAATATAATTATATTTTCTACACATGGAAATAATTTGATTTTATCTATTTCTATAGAAATAACATATAAAGTTGTAATATAAAATAATATCTGTATTTTTGTGTGATGTACAAATAATTATTGTAAACTATAATAGAGTAGTTTATTCTGTAAGTTACCTACTATAATGAAACCTTAAATACTTAAATAATTGATATTATTACAGTTTATAATAATTTAATCGGGGGACGGAGTGGCCGAGTGGACTGACTCCGGTTCAAACCTCGGTTCACGGGCGGTATTTTTCTTTGGGCAAGTCACGGTGTCTGGAGAAGTGCCACCATCCCCCACCCGGGCATGGCAGATACCTACGGGTGCCCACTAAAAAATCTGCCAAACTGTGTAAAACGTGTTTCAACCTACAGTACCCTTCCACACAGTTAAAAACCACCCAATGGCCTAAGTTTCCGAGGGTTAATTAATTAAAAAAAAAAAAATTTAATCATTCGTTTTATAATAATTGTATGTAAAATAAATTTTATACAGTGGTCGGTTCAACATTTTCATAATATGCTGGTAATTGGTATCTATAAATTTAAAAATAAGATATAATTATTTATATTTGTAAGCATTACCTATATGTATACATGTTTTATTGAATTTTTTTACATCACAAATATATATTTTATAACTTTAATATATTATATAATTTATAATCATATTATTTCATAATAATAATTGTCATACAATAATAAATTATAAACTTCAACACTTCATTGTGGTTTTGTTATGCAATGAGTTATGAGTAATAAGTAGGTATTCTTTAAATATTGTATTGATAATATAGTCGTACTGTATTAGTAATGACTTATTACTTATTAGTTATTAATTAACGTATTATACATAATAATTAATATAGGTACTATTCATATAGAACATATAGTGATACCTATGAGTTATGATTTCAAAAATACTGTATAATAAATAATAATATAGGTAATATGTTATTTATCTTTAATTTCATGAAAGCAATTACTAATTAGGTACAAAGTTATAGTATTGACTTAAAAAAAAAAATAAAAAAATTGCTAATATAAGTTTTGCACTAAAGTGCAAATATTGATTATTCCTAAATATCCAAACACATATAATAGTGATAACAATTACTGTATAGCTGATAATTTTTATAGTAAGTGGCAAGTGCCTACACTTAAAAATAGTTGAGAATGACACTTGAAATATATCTTCAACTGCATTTAACTCAGTGTCTCAAAATGCCACCAATCAAGTAAATAGTTTCTTAAATTAAAATTAGAAATATTTCTGTTCATAATAATAACTTGTAAACATGCACACTGCAAATACTTTATCATAAATATTTGTCTTTACGTGGTAGGTACTATTCGATTAGATAATAATTAAAGAATAGTTAGATGTAGGTAATAATATTTACAATATTTTGTTATAATAGTATACCTATTCAATCAGTTGACATAACTACAACTGTATACTAATAAGATCGGAGATAGGTAATAGCATTGATTATAAATACTAGTATTTATAATTAATGCTAATAGGTAGGTACCACTTATGCCAAATTATTTTAATCTTTCCAATATTAATATATTTTGGTGTCAATTAATAAAAACTCTTATAAACTATCAAAGCATTAATTGAATTGATGCTTTTATATACCTACCCTAACTTCTCATCGCGTATGTGCGATAGATACATCTGGTGACCGAATTTTCAAGCTTGGAATGTTTTTGTAATTATTTTACCAAGACAATAATAAGTGACTTTTAGATTTTGAGAGACACGTGCAACAGATATAAGAAATAATTAATAGATATTATCACACAACGTTCCACGACAGCATTCAGTGTAAATATAATAATATAATACATACATTTTCAGTGACCTATTCATCATCTCCGCCCTCTAGACTAACATGTGTTCACTTCGGGAAGTTGGTGATTGAGCGTATGCGTGAACGATGAAGTGGTTCTAAACTTAGACAAAGGTCGTAAACACAAAATTGGCGTGATTGAAACCATACAAATATTTTGAATCAGACTCTCGAGTCACTCCAATAACGATTAAAAACGATAAAAAGAGAGACGGCAAACGACGTTTATTGAATTCTGAGTGTATACATAAAGGTACCTAATAAATTATATTATAACAAAAGCTACCGGATGTCACGATGATTTGAACATTTATAATAATAATAATAGTTTATAACATTTATTTTTTCCGCCAAATTACAATCACTACACTTTTTTAATTTTTTTGCAGTAATTTTGGTCCCTTCACGGCTTCATCACAACTGAGGAAACCTCTTATTATATTATGTATAGTCGTATAGATACAGGAGAAGCTGAACTATAAATGTAAGAAAAAATGTATATAATGTCTAATGATCTAAAATATTACATTCGGATGCGACGAGGACGGATCTACGCACGATCTCTAGAGAACACGTGATCACTGATGCAATAATAAGAAAATAAGATAGTAAAAAATAATATGATATAAATCAGGTAACGCGATGATAATTTTATTGTGGTTGATATTCGGCTGCAATGCGATAAATTGTATATATATATGTGACGATAAAGCAGAGTGTATGTTTTGATTTGATAAGGACGAAGAGCAAATTTCGTAAAATGGGGTGAAACGAACCGATGACGAGTATACTCGTGGCACGCATCAAAACTACGTGAGCAATAAAACTACCCCTTCCAATAACGACTGTATACGTCGTGTACTAGTGTGACACATACAAACGCACATAGTATGAGGAGTTGTGTGTGTGTGTGTGTGTGTGTGTGTGTTTGAGAGTGTCAGAGAAAGACCGGTGGGGATAGGATTTGTGGCGGGGAAGCTTTCAACGAAATGAAACCATCAACGGAAGGACACACTGATATATGTATATTGTATATATATATATATATATAGGCCAATAGCATCAGACCTCCTCTCTGAGGAAAATAACGAATATTTGCCGCAGTCTCGCGGAAAGAAAGTAATCACACCGCCGCCACCGCCGAATAAGAAAGAGCCTCGATGGGGTGTGGGAAACGCGATGGGATCGAGGGGTTGATTTATGTACGATCCGTATGTGTGGACTGCGAAGATGATAATATAACTAACGAAATCTTGTCGAACGAACGTCCTGTGGATTTTCTAACGACTATATTATAGGGTTTTTGCAGCGTACACACGTTGTTATATTTTTAGTTTATATTATATTATTTTTTATTATTATTCATCTCAGACACACATTCACAGTCACTTTTTATCCATTCAAATCATTCGTTTCTATTCTCGTGTAGGCCGAGAAACCATTATGTTGTCGGTTATGCACTACGTTTTTGTAAGAAAATTGTCTATGAGTATTTAAAATGTTTAGAATTTTTCAACAGAGTTGATAACGCGTGGTTATTATATTAATATATATTTTCTTTTGTCATAATCTTTATTTCAAGTTTCAACGGACCAGTCGTATATCACGAAACAATCAGCCTTGAGCTTGCCGTAGGACAATATGTGTCAAATGTTAATATGACTGACTATGACTCAACTGGTCGGTTCATAGTGAAACAATAATATTATGAATCACAACTCTCAAGGTATTAGTGTTTATCAAAGCTTTTTTATTGCTTTTATATTCAAATCGATTGTATACTGCATAAAAAACTTATAAATACAATAGGTATATGCTGCAGCTATCTATATAGTATCTAGAATAATTTAAAATCATACGTATATCTATTTTTGGGTTATCTAAAGTGGCCATGCATATGACATTAGAAACGATAACAAGAACGTCGAATAGCTCCGGAGCTACACAATAATAATATTATAATATTGTGTATATTGTGTTAGGCTCACGGTTAGTCGTTGTACATAATAACATTATTATTTATGCGTGTTAACTTTTAGTAAA